CTTCTACTTAGAGGTAACCACTTTCAACTCTTTCAGCTCTTTCTTCTGGTACATGCATATCTCCATATTTCTCAGATAATGTGAGGATACTTCTGTCTTCACATGCATTGACTTGATTCGGTAGCTATTGACTTCTATCATGTGAGTAAGGATCTGGTGTCTAAAATCGCCACTCCTCTGCTTCACTCCCCCTCACCCACCAAGGGGTTAAAGTTTAGTTCAATCAGTATTCACTCTTTATCTCATTGTATTTATGCAAATATGACTTGCAACTGAGCATTATAGTATACTCTGATTACATGCCCATTTTTACTCTTTGTTTTCTTGTAAGGTAAAGTTACCCTAGCTTTTCATTTGCTTTGCTTTCTTTCTACATCTTCCAGTGACCTCGCAATATAAATTTCCACAGGCTCAGCCATATCAGTGAATCTCTCAATTCCACTGCCTTTCTTAGAGGCCACGAGACTCCTTCTGTCTGGGCTGACTGTGATCTAGGCCTGTTGCGTATCTGTCATCCTGGGAATTTCCCTGGTTTGTCTCTTTAGTTGGATTCCCTGGTTCCTGAATCTGGTGTGTTCTCCTTTCTCAATGTATTCTTCTGTTTTGGTGTAGCGCATTCTAGAAAGTTTCAGTAGGTTTAAAAAAAAAATGGGTGCAGTGGAAGAGGGTATGATGGTGACAGCTCTCAACTTGCTCGTTTTTGAACTACAGTGCCCACTGCCCCCCTTCTGGTTTAGTTGCCCTCCGTGTCTGAGGTGTGTTTTACCCCGAGATCTTCCCTAGAGAGTTCCTTGACTTGTCTCCTGGGATGGCTCTCTTGTGTACTGTATCTCAACTCTTCTTTCTTGGTTCACCCTTATTTTGATAGAGGACATGCAGTAGTTTCCTGAGAAACAGTGCACGCTGGGTAAAATTGTTGAAAGCTTGCAATTTAAAAAATGTCTACGAATGTTCCAGACCCATTTGAGAGTTTGGCTGGGTATAGAATTCTAGATTGAAAATACATGTTTTTGGCCAGGTGTGATGGCTCATGCTTGTAATCTCAGCACTTTGGGAGGCTGAAGTGGGCAGATCACCTGAGGTCAGAAGTTCAAGACCAGCCTGGCCAACATGGTGAAGCACTGTCCCTACTAAAAATATAAAAGTGAGCCAGGTGTGGTGGCCTGCACCTGTAGTCCCAGCTACTCCAAAGGCTGAGGCAGGAGAATTGCTTAAACCCAGAAGGCAGAGGTTGCAGTGAGCTGAGCTTGTGCCACTGCACTCTAGCCTGGGTGACAGAGCAAGACTCTATCTCAAAAAAAAAAAAGAAAAAGAAAATACATTTTTTTTCCAGATGTTTGAAAGTACTATTTCATTGTCTTCCTGCTGTCAGTGTATCAGTGTTGCTATTGAGAAATCTAAACCCGGCCAGACACAGTGGCTGATGCCTATAATCTGAGCACTCTGGGAAGCTGAGGCAGGAAGATCACTTGAGTCCAGGAATTTGAGACCAGCCTGGGCAACATGGTGAGACCCTGTCTCTACAAAAAATAGAAAAAATAGCTGGGCATGGTGACACATGCCTGTAGTCCCAGCTACTTGAGAGTCTGAGGCAGGAGGATCACTTGAGCTTAGGGAGGTTGAGGCTGCAATGAGCTGTGATCACACCACTGCACTCCAGCCTGAATAACAGAACAAGTCCCTGTCTC